CTGGATGTGATGAGGAGACTTAGGCAAGGTCACAACTACAATTTAGTTGGGATAACACTAACTTTGGGAAGCAAGACTATGTGAAATTCAATGGAGATATAAGGCCTACTTATATGCTTGTGGAAAAATTCAACTATCAGTCCTTCATCAACGAAATAAGGGGAATATAATTCTCATCTCAAATCTACTTATATTCTCGTAATCCTATTATGATATGCAAATATTTTTCTACATTACTTAATCAAACCATACTCTCCTTTGCCTAGATTTCTGTCTCAAGAAGTCCCAGCCCATAAAGCTGACTTCACACAAATTTATTTAATATATGCGAGTGAATCTATTAGGCCTTTTGTATCGCGAAGAAATGAATGAAATGGATAATTTATTTTTCCATAATAACTGCGCAGATTGCTTAACGAAAAATCTACCGCCGTCTCAAGTTTGCACTCATTTTCTGGAACCGTACTTTCTACTTCAGTTATGACAATTAATAGGAAAGAATACAGATTAGACTGCAAGGCAATCTAATGAAACTGGGGAAAGCAGTTGAGCCGCAACGGCCAAAGGGGTGGCACTAATAAGCACAAGTGCATCCAAATTCCGTCACTAAGTCAAGTTGCTGATTGCACATTCTACGCAGTCTATCAGCTCTTATATTACCTTTTTGAACCGGGGCAACTGTTTGCCGAAATTGGGCCAAGCATTTGATATCACAACCAGCCAAAGTGAATCCCTCTTCGGGACCAAGTGACTTGGTTGCTGCTGTATAAACAATACCTTTAGAAAAATGAGTACTAACAATAATGGCAAAGACGACGCCGCCGAACGAGAAGACCCCGAAGTGGATGACGAGCTCAGTGATGCCAGTGATGATGAAGACGATTCTAGCTACACATACACGTATACGAGCGGTGAATACAGTAAATCGGATAAGAAAGCTGAGCCAAAATCCAAAAACATGATGGATGGTCTCATGTCCAGTTTTAAAGAGATACTCCCGATGATTTTGATATGTTGCCTACTTCGAAAAGTAATGCAACGTAACTATTTGAGCCGTTTCCTCTCCTGCTTATTTGGTTCTGCACAGCAAGCGCCGCAAGAGAATTCAAATGGTTGTTGCAACTGCTGCATTGTACCCTGTTGCATGGAACAGTGCAACTGATGCTCCCTAATTATCAAGAAGTTTAGCGAGCTATCTAAAGGTAAGAAATGGCCGGGTCAAAAATGAAATCGGAGCCTTCTGCTGGTCACCATGCCTCTCTTAATCCCCTTAGTATTATTATTTATCTTTCCTATCCTGTCACTTTGACTAACCATAAACCTGTAACCTAGTTGTAAATGAGAACTTATTGACCTTCTGTAGGTTCGTTTCTGCTCTAGATCATTTTCCAAGCTTTCTCATGAGCCAAGGTTTGAAGTTCAGGGTTACTTTGTTTAGAAGTTACCGGAAACCTTCTCTAGTTTCTCATTATCCTTTAGTCGTACTGATTCAACTTTAAAATAAATCCTTTTCTACAACTCGACATGATACCAATAAATAAGGCTGTCCTATAAAAAAAATCATATAGAAATCCTGAATCACAGTCTTTATTACACATAGAGGAGATTACTTGTATTTAAGTACTTCGAGCAGTTGGACATTTTGGAAGGTATGGATTCAAGTTGCATTATGCTTCAAGAAAAGTACAAGACAGGGTTTGATTGAGGAACTTTAGAAAGTCATGTATCAAACTAAATTATGTAAGCTCTTTACATTGATGATCTATTTTTGGCATTAATGAATCCAATTTCCTATCAACTTTGAGCTTTCTAAACGCACAATTACAAATTTTCTCAGGTTAATAAAAGTAGCTACGAATTTAATTCGTGCAAGTTAAGTTAGTTCTTGTCTGCATTTATAACAATATTCTTATGTTCTATTACAGAAGTCTTTTATTGCAATTTGGTGAAGATCGTCCGCTAACAAAAAATCTAATATAATATGATTAGACTTTGGTAAATATACTCTCTACCGAAGTGTCATTTGTTCTTGCTTTGATAGAAATGATAAAAAGATTGATCGTGATTGCTTTCATGCTGTATTATTATATTTTTTTATTTGATTAGTTCAAAATAACTATGCACTCAATTAATGTCTATAATTATTTTCAATATTTTTGGCACCTAGAAATTCCTATTCCTTAGCACTGCTGTGAGTCGAAACATACATAAACATTTTACCTACATTTGCCTTTCTTTTTGAACCATACCCAAAACAAAGGATTATGCAAATTCTATCCATAACTAGATTTATACTCTGGGTTTGTTTTCCAGTGCTTATAATAGCACAAGCCAGATTCATAGTCCTTGGCATTGGTATATTCTTCCTATTTGAAGCACTCCAAAATGCACCCTTCTGGGTCCTACGCCTATGGCAAAAGGGCTTTTTGGTTTGGTTTAGTGAAGCATATTCCTTACCCCGATAGCTCTTTGCTGTTAAGAGTTCGTCTTCACTCCACTCAGGATATTCCCAGAGGACACCATTTATTGATACACGTGAAGTGCTCAAAATATGGAATCGAGGCTAGGGTAGAGGAATGATCTCAGCCATTAATTGGTTTATCCCATTTTTTGCTCAAAAAATCCATCCATTCCCGGAATCATAATTCACCCGTGTTGTTTGGCCTGCTTTTATTTGCGCGGAAGGATATATATACATAGACTACTTTTAATTTTATTCAATTAATGTTTGGGTAGTTACTCTGAGACCTGATAATTCATGTTATCATGGAGTTAATTAAAATATATAGCTTTCAAGCGGTTGATTGCTAAGGCTCAGAAACTACCTAGGGCTTAGGCTCCCTTAATTTCAATACTAGATTATAAATGACACTTACTCTTTAAAAGTTTGCAGCGTTTCCATGATGGAAAACGTAATGGCATAAATAGATTCCAAAAGATCAAAGTGTAAATCGCCAATCAAATATATTTTTCCTCCAAGTAAATGCATGTGAACTCGATCCTGATTTTCTGACAGCCAATACGATTTCGATTAAAGCAAGCCGGATCCAATGATCAGTTATAGCATCGGGCCGTACTCCAGATACATTTCCAAACTACCGTGGTCAAAATCGTCACCGCAGTGATAAGGTTAAAAAAAAACTATCCAGAATGATGCTAAATGGGTGTTCACACCATCTTGAGGTTTTTTGCAAAGCTAAACAGGCAATTATACATGTAAATACAAGACTCGAACCTTTTTTCGAAGCTATGAAGACCAAAATGGTGTTGTCTCCGGTATGGTTGCAGTCTCCGGTATGGTTGCAGTCTCCTCGTTGTCGCAACTTGGTCTTGTTGTCCAGGAGACTTAGCAGAACACAGCTAGTCCGAAGTCATTTGCCATTATAGTTGTCATAATTCCCAGCATCAGACAGTGGACTTGGTACATTCTCAAACGTTTTGCCGACATCATAAGTGAATCTTGTTATTCTCCGCATCAAGCTACGAACTCGTCACAGACAATTTAAGTCAATCCTTCCACCAACGTTCTGCCGAAAACGGTTATACTATCACTCCTCTTTCTGTCCTGGCCTATTCATCTACTTTTTACCCTCTTATCCAACTCCAGCGTTATCACAACTTCTCATGTGTTTACATTTCACTCGTAAAAATGTGTACCCTTTTCTAAAAATCTAGTGGCCTCGTCACACCTGCTATTCACCTCGACCCCTCGAACCTTTACTGTTCACCAAATATCTTCTTTTGAGCGACAAGAATGTCGGAAACGTCAGGGCCAATAGGATAAAATAACCTTTGGTGGCCTTTCCAAACAGATACTTGAAGACAGGTAGGCCATTTTTGGAGACTCAAAGAACGCTAGTGATTAAAAAATGGAAATGGCAATCAGTGTATGCAATTATGCTGCTATTGCATATTCAGTATGATCCCTCAAAGCCTCATTTCAAGCGATACACTGATTTTGCCGTTTGAAATACATAATCTTGATCTGTCAGCACCGAGGAAGAGAGTACTTCATTCATCCTCCCGTTTTTTACACATGCCTTGTTTTGAACTAAATCTCTCCGTCGAGATGCCCCAAAATTAATCCTTACGCAGTTTCAATGATCCCAACTAGACGTATGTACATAAATGTCCAGAAATAGTTTTGCTCCTAGTTCGCGTAAGGAGGATTTAATTGTCAATCATTTATCATCTTAAACGAGAACGAGTGAATACAGCTCTTAGATAAGGGGATTAATCTAAACTATTCAATTGCTCCTTCCTCCTCATGCTGCGAGATGATAAACGGCACGGGGAAGTAGGCAAGAAATTTTCAGATAATCGTCTTTATGCTCATCGAAGAAAGTTTGATGTCTAAAACTTATTTATACAGGATGAGTTATTAGTAATGATTAAGCAAGGTTTACTCAGGAGATAGCACTAAACAAGTCCCATCAATTCTGATGTTATAAATGGGATTGAGCAGTTTGTAGACCAAATTTAGATTAAAAGTATGAAGACTAAGGTTTTGTGGTCTCTAGTATGGTCGCAGTATCTATTCGTTGTATAGAAGTCGTGTGACCTTTTTGTCATATTTCCAGGAGGACCTAAAGGAGCGCAGCATGTCCGGAATCCATAGAATGCAGGATAATTTCCACATTTGGACCGTTGACTTGGTTCATTACCAGACTCTGGGAATTAGCATAGATATAATGAACTCCGGACAAGAAGTGTTTCCCTAGGCCTTACTGACAATATGACCAAGTCTGGGCAACAAGGTAGAACAAATTTAGACAGTTTTAGTTCATAATTACGTTTTTGAGACTATCAGTATATTAAATATATG